GCCTCAGCGATTACCTCATCAAAGAAGGCTACAAAAATGACCCCATCAGTCCATGCATCTTCATCAAGAAGTACTCAAACAAAGGATTTGTAATCATAGCAGTATACGTGGATGATCTAAACATCCTCGGAACATCTGGTGAGATCTCCCAAACAGTCGACTGCTTAAAAGCAGAATTCGAAATGAAAGACCTAGGCAAAACAAAGTACTGTTTGGGATTACAACTTGAGTACATCAAAGGAGGAATCCTTGTGCATCAATCGGCTTATATCGAAAAGGTACTCAAGCGATTTAATATGGACCAAGCTCACCCATTGACCAGCCCAATGGTAGTTAGAAGCTTAAGTGATGACCCTCTTGGTCCCAAAAAGGATGATGAAGAAATCCTTGGTCCTGAAAAGCCATACCTCAGTGCTGTAAGAGCGTTAATGTACCTGGCTAGTCACACTAGACCAGACATATGTTTCGCCGTGAACCTCCTCGCTCGATATAGTTCATCTCCAACTCAGAGGCACTGGAACGGTATAAAACATCTCCTAAGATACCTTCGAGGTACTCAAGACTTAGGACTCTTCTATACTAACCAAAATAAAGATGGGTTAGTCGGCTTCACCGATGCAGGATATCTATCAGATCCGCACACTGCCAAGTCTCAAACTGGCTACGTTTTTACGCATGGAGGAACAACCATCTCTTGGAGATCAATGAAGCAGACACTCACTGCCACTTCATCAAACCATGCTGAAATCCTAGCCATTCATGAGGCTAGTAGGGAATGCGTCTGGCTGCGCTCCATGACTCAGCACATCCGCAGAGATTGTGGTATGGACGAAGACACACAGCCCACGGTGATGTATGAAGACAACGCGGCATGCATAGCTCAGCTCAAGGAAGGATATATCAAAGGAGATCGGACGAAGCACATTCTACCGAAGTTCTTCTCAACCTCAGACTGGCAGAAGGACGGCACTCTCAGCGTTCAGCAGGTCCGATCCAGTGAGAATTCAGCTGACCTCTTCACCAAATCATTGCCTACTTCAACACACCGGAAGCTCGTCAAACAGATAGGAATGTATAGACTTAGAGATCTGCAGTGATGCTACAATCAGGGGGAGTAATGCGTGTTGTACTTTTTTTCCTTCACCATGGTTTTGTCCCACTGGGTTTTTCCTGGTAAGGTTTTAATGAGGCAACATTCCCCAGCGCATTATCGAGATCCCGATTGAGTAGCTGACCCGGTTCACTCATCCAAGGGGGAGTGTTATAACACATATCATATATGGACTCTTATACCGGCCCATTAGCCCATCAGAGCATTGTACTTAATCTAGATTCCCTATGTACTCTATATATACCTTCTAGTGATTAATAAAGTTTCTAAGTTTTCACAACAATAAACATTTAGAGGAAAAGAGATAAAGCAAAATTTTGAAATACTAAAAAAGGAAGAAAAAAATTCATTTCTTTTTAACTTCAAACATTTATGCAAGGGATTGAAACTTTGAAAAATGATTAAAAAAAAAAAAAAAATTGGGTACTAGTGGGAGAATCGAGCTTGAAGCAGGGAGTGTATTTACCTCTGGTTTCAGAAGTCGTTTGAATAGCCCCGGTTTTTGTAAAACGACGTCGTGTACCTTTCTCCTTCTCTGCTATTTTGGCGATTTTGGCAAAGATTTTCGTTCTTCCTTCTTCCTTGTTCAGCGGTTCTTCCCTGTAAAACCCTAAATTTCTTGTAAGATAGGCTTCCGAAAATCTTACCGACAAAATCATCGTGTTTAGAAAATTCAAAGCAAAATCTGAGAACAAGGTTAGGTATTTTCTCTTGCTTGTGTAATTTTTTTCGTGGGTTTTCTTGTTCTGTGTAATTTGAGGGACTGTTCTAGATTTGGGAGTTGTTCGACTACATTTTCGATAGGGATCAGAATCGTTGATGTCGATTTTTGTTTTGTTGTGCGATTTTATAGGTATGCATCGATTGTAGTGCGAAGAATCCGACATGGGCATCGATCACATACGGGATCTTTCTCTGCATCGATTGTTCAGCCATTCATCGTAGCCTAGGTGTTCATATCAGCTTCGTCAGGTGAAACCTAGGAACAATCTTGATCCAATTCTTGCTTACATTTTTGTTGATTCTGGCTTGAAAGTGTAACATTACGTTGAATTATGTTCCTTGCCTTATTTTCTCTCGATTAACACCAAGTACTAATTGTTTTTTTTTTTTTTGGTATAGATCAACGATTTTAGACTCCTGGACCACTGAGCAGCTCAGGGCAATGATATTTGGTGGCAATAACCGAGCTCAGGTGTTCTTCAAGCAACATGGATGGACAGATGATGGTGGAAAAATCGAGGCTAAGTACACTTCAAGAGCTGCTGATCTGTATAGGCAGATTCTTGCTAAGGAAGTTGCAGAAGCCATTGCATCTAATGGGGTTTCTTCTTCCTATGATGTGAACGAAGACTTACCTCGTAAAGAAAGTTCTTTTGTGAAACATGAAGCTACCAGTGCCACTAAAGCTTCCAATACATCTAACAAACCCATAAGGATAGTAAAAACTGGTGGTCTTGGTGCACGGAAGCTTACTACTAAGGTAGTTCTCGAGTTCTTATCTGGAATATGAACGTTTCTGTTCTCTTGTTTAGATTAAAAGATTATAGATCTTTTAATATGTAGCAAGAGGAAATTCATTATGACCAGAAACCGGAAGAGTCTGCGCCGCTTATTCCTGCTGCATCTTCGACTAATAATTGCGAATCATCAGCTAAATTTGAGTACAACGAAGACTTGCAATCTGGAGGGAAAAGCGAAGAGCTTAGCCATGTTGCTCCACCAAAGCCTTCATCAAGCTTCTTTGCAGATTTTGGCATGGACAGTGCCAAGGAATCAAGCTGCTCCAGCTCTTCGAATGGTCAGGTAAGCCGTGTGTCTTTTAGAGAAGGCAACACATCCAGCTACACAGTCATCTTCTAACTAATATCTTTGATTACTAGGTTGAAGAACCGTACGAAGCAAGAAAGAAGTTCTCAAACGCAAAGTCAATTTCTTCTGCTCAGTTTTTTTGAGATGAGAATACATCTCCTGATCTCGGATCAAAAATTACCCTTGAGGAGGTTAAGTAGATTTTCCTTTTGCCACCATATATTATCATGTCAAAATACCTTGTTGCGATGATCCCTATATATTTAATGATGTCTTCTCTTTGATTTGTTATGTTTTGGTAGGTGAAGAAAGATTTCTAGTCGTTAGTGAACAAAGCCGAGAAAATGAAGGAGAAGCTCGTTGCAAGAGTACTTGGAGTAGATGTTTATGGCCTGCGTAGGCAAGTGACAGAGTTAATGCAGAAATTGCGTGCACCAAATGCTGATGACATCCCTTTTGCCACCCGTCGAGAATGGGTCCACAGAGCGTATCCCGTAGTAAGTTTCTTACCTCTCTCGGTTTTTTTTTTTTTTTTTTTTTTTGGGAGCTTTTAATTAACACTAACTGTTCTGATAAACCTACTTCTTGGTCGGTTGTTTCTAACAGATTTATGATGCTTTCTACGATCTTCGTGAAATTCCCATTTATGGAGCCATACTTGCGAGTGCCCGACAGGATATGTTGGCCTTACTGTTGGAATTACATGGAATTGAACCATTCTCTTATGATGTGGTTCCGATCAATGCAGATTAAGCAAAGCGTAATAAGCGGTAAATGTAAGAAGAATGGTAGCTTATAGATCAGTTGGTCAATTGCTTTCTTCAAGTGATGAAAGTTTGTTTATTTGTATTGTTCTGAAAAGGGCTTATAGGTTAAATAAAAAGACTATGTAAGACCACCTTTGGTTACAAAATCCATGTGAGAAGCCTGAAATCCAACAACTATGTTAAATTTTATGCACATGTCGATGTACTTAAACGTAGGACGAAGTTCATCAACGTTGTGTGTTTTAACTAGGTACGCAAGTTGCAGTATTCAAAAACAACAGAACACATAAAACAACACATTACTTAGCTTAGAGAGCTCAAGACATGGCTAACACCTAAAGTAATCAAAGTGTCTTATGGATAGGAAGTAAATCAGCGTACTGAACATCTTATTAATCAATCAATCATGGAGTGATCTCCTCTCCGGCCTTCTTGGAGACATGGAGAAACTCAGTCTGTTTGATGAGTTCGAATATATAAATGTCACCAATCAATAAAAGATGCTCTCGTTTACCACTTTTAGTCCATCTACTTGAGAAGTGTGCCCGAGTACCCCTCCCCAAGCAAAACAGCTTTCCATCCATGAAAGTTTTTTCTTTCGAGTGATGAACCGTGAACAGAAAACCGAACCAGAATATGATCAAGTGCAACACTGGAGTACATATCTTGGGATATTGAAACTCAATTAGGACTCTCATGAGCTCTTCCACTTACTCTCGGTTCTCAAGAATAGTTTTGATGAACTCTTGGTGCAGATGAACTTGAGACAAATATTCACATGAGGCAATGAGGCTTCAGTTCTACCCATGTTCTCTTTGAAGTTTGAGAAGACTTTCTTTTGAGCCTTGGTAAGAAATCTACCGAGAAATGGAAGTTTAGTTTCAATGTTAGAAGTTTCATTCCCTTTCAAAAACCTTTGTCACTCATCTTTTTCTTTACTTCCTTAAGACACTTTTCAATTTCCATTTTGCTAGAGATCACCAAATCTGTTCTTGGAAAGGGAGATGAAGTGAAAGAGGGAGAGAGATTCGAGAAAGAAATCAATAGTATATAGTGAAATATACACTATATTCTAATCGTTGGTTTTATATGATTATTAGTTTAATATGAGAATCAAATATGGTTATTTGATGTTATTTCCCAATCTGTAAAGATTAAAATTGGAGTGTTTTAAAATCGAAACCAAAAATACAACCATTTGCATTTCAAATTACCTTAATTAGAATACATAAAGAAAAAAAAAGATCATTATTCGGTGGTGCATAAAGTATCGAAGTTGCTGAATACACTAATTTTTTAGCCTCTCTTTTTTATGCCGAGTCAGCTTCCTTTGTTATATCGATCGGCATTTCCTATGCAACACAAAAAAAAAAAAACAAGTTTTGTAAGAGATTTTCTTATATACTACTCTTCATGATAATGAGAACAAACTAACTAACAATAAAGAGTCGTGCAGGCCGCGAGAGCGGTACCAAATATCGAGGCAAACTCTGAGTACTAGATATGACCACAAAAAAAATCAGGGGTCAAGGTAGGCCCTCGTCCACCAAGCGGGACACGATCCTTAACCTTAAGCAATTGCCAATATCACACTGACACATTCTATATGTTAAATGAATTTACATACCTCTTTTGCATCAACTTTATCTTCATCTTTTAAAGCCGGAATTTCATCGTTTTCCACTGTCGTTGATTCGTCGTTTTCTGCGGTCAGGGTTTCTTCAACTTCTAATTCCGTTGTTGTGGGAGTTTCTACATCTGATTTTGGTTCCTCAGCCTCAGGAAGTGGAACTTCAGTAGTGTCAACATCACCATCATTCATACCATCGTTTTGTTCCTCTACTTTTTTCTCTTCCTCTACCACCGTTTGAATATCAGTATTTTCTGTTAATAGACGAACCCAAAAGAAACATATATGTCAATATTTTCTATATAACAAACCTCACAAAAATAGTTAGATATATAACTAAACATCAAATTAACTTCACATTTCCAACGTATTATAATATTATATTGTTAAAAACATCATAAAATTATATAAACATCTCAACCAAATAATTCATTAGATTATATTATTTGCATACCCTTTTGTACATCAACAGGCAAAACATTCTCATCCACATTGTTAACCGTCTCCTCCGTCACAACATTCTCCGGCGTTAACGCTCTCACCGGCGGCGAAATGGTCGTTTCCTTTTCCTCCGTCACAGCATTTTCCGGCACTATCGGTGTCACCGGCGGCAAAGTGATCGGTTCCTTTTCCTCCGGTTTCTTCGTATTATTTTCTACGGCGGAGATGTCGTTACTTTTCTGGCACCGGCAGCTTTCTTGTCTTTTCATTGTCTCGCCTTCTTTGCCTTTCACTGATTCAGCTTCCGAAGGTTTTCTGATCGTCTTGGTGATTCCGGTAACAACATCGTGTTTTGATTTTCCACAACCCATTTTTCTTAGAGATATTCCTCTAATAACAAATTCTTTTGCTACAAGAACGCCCTTTATTTTTTTATTTGTTCTTGTTTGTATTGATTCAATGAACAGAAACAAACAAAAGAGTAAGGATTGATGAAGAAAAGATGTATCTATTGATGAATTTTTATTGAAGGAGAAGAAAGAAAACCATAAACTAATTCCAGTTATTGGTTTTTTTATTTCACTTTTGTTAGAAAAAAGTGAACTTTTGTTTTAGTTATTGTTCGGTGTGACACCATTCTTTCCACCAAATTTTTATTTTTTATTTATTTATTAATAGAATAGAAAGGTTATGTTTAGTTAGAGGGGCTACGAGTACGACAGAGAGGTGCCCTACACTAAAAATATTAACGGAAAAAATAGAACATAATAACTGTTAGAATATATGAATTATTCGTTATTACTACAAAAGAGATTTCAAACTGATTTGAATGAACAAGATGTATAATACATTGAGTGAAAAATGAAAAAAAAAGGGTCGAATTATTGAGTGAACTTGATAGAATTAGCTGGACGAGGAGAGTTTGTATAAAAATGGTTTCTCTTTTCTTTTGTAAAAGACAATATTCACTATATATAAAAATGGTTCAATTGGTGAAATAAATAAATATGTTTAATAATGGCGCCAAGGTGTGGATTTCATCAGGATGGTTTGATGGAGATTAATAATGGCACACATGTTTTTTTTTTTAATTTTGGTCTAATGTTTAGATGTTTTTAAGCGCTTGATTTACCTCTAGTTAGATAAATTATTTTCGCAATAGGATGTTTTTTTTTCTCTTCTAATTTTGGTTTCCGTAGTTTGCTATTGTTCTATTGGCACTATTAAAGAAACAAAAAGTAACATGGTGAATTAGCTAATTATGAAAACATAGGGACTTCTTATTGTAAATAATGTATTGCTAATGGTCAAAAACATAAACCCTAAAAATCGTTGATTCCGGCGTCTAACCCATCGTGCTTCTTCACTCAATCTAGCGACTCGACTCAGTTCGAACAAAAAAAAATAACCGAGCTTGACTCAGAAACCGTGAATCAACGAGATATGCAATTTCTCCAAAACTCTCGTCGAATCTCTAGGCTCGTAAAACCCATTGTAATAACCGAGGCTGATCTGAGATTCTTTTCCTCTGCTTCTCAAATCTCCTCGGGTTCCTTCCAATGGCGGAATCATGCGTCTCCTTCTTCCTCTGTATTACAAGGTACTTTCTTTCTTTCATTTCACATACCTTTTCGAAATTGATTTACCTCTAGCTTTGGAAATGGAACCCTTTTTTGGTCCTCGACGAGAGTACTTAACTCGTTGGTCAGAGATTTAGTAGTGGACTATGCATTTAGATTGTTCTCCAGTGTAATTTGGGACTTCTCTGTATTCGTTTGAAGAAAAATTATAACTTTAAGGTGATGATCCTGAAAAATTCGAACTTGGACCACTTTAATGCCAGAAATGGGATCAAAGTCATAGCTGATGGTTCTTGAGTGTAATTTTCTAGTGATTCCAAAATGGGATATGTAAGTTATGAATGAATTATTGAGGTGACTGAGGTTTTGCAGGGATTGATAGATGCGCTCACTTGCATAGCCGCTCGTCTGCTATGAGCTTGTTGATTCCAAGATCAAGCTTTTCCTCTGAAGCGGAAAAGCTTGCGGGAAATCCTACAGGTTGCTAATATGTCCACTTTGTTTTTTGAATTCCATCTTGAATCCACCCAAAGCAGTTTCTCATTGCATTTCCATGCGCAGTCACTGTCAAGGAATTGCATGATAAGATTCTCAGTTCTGTAAATGTCAAGAGATCAATGCCTCCAAATGCTTTGATGTGGTCGTTGATTGAAAACTGCCAGGGTCAGGATGACATTCATCTTCTCTTTGAAGTTCTTCAGAATCTCCGGAGATTTGTAAGTACTTTGAATGCTCCCTTTTGTACATGCCTTGTTCTGTTCCTGTTGAGATTTCTTATATGTTTGGTTAATTGACGGTGCTTCTTGATTGTAGAGATTATCCAATCTTCGTATTCATGACAACTTCAATAGCAATCTATGCCAACAAGTTGCTAAGACCTGTGTGCGTGTTGGAGCAATTGATTCTGGTACTCCTAATGTTTCATTTTTTATCTAGGTGTTACTTTAGCTTTGATTCTTTATCGGAATTTAATCGAACAAGTCTTTGTGGTTGCAGGAAAGAAGGCATTGTGGAAACATAATGTTCACGGTTTGACACCTAGTGTTGCATCTGCACACCATCTATTGGTATTGCATGTCTATAATATGATTGTCGGCTGTTTTGTTTAGTACTCAGACTTTTTGAGACGTATTTCTGGATTTCATGTAGTCATATGCCCTAGAGCACAAGAATCCTGAACTCATGGAAGAAGTAATGAAACTCCTGAAAACGAATGACCTGCCTCTACAACCCGGTACAGCAGATTTAGTTTTCAGGTACGCAAAATTGTTTTGTTTCTCATCCTTTATGGTTCCGTTGTTGTGGCAAAGTTGAAATACGCATGCGCTTATTTCCATTGCATGTGCTTTCTTATCATGAAATAAACTTTAACTGGATTTTTGCAGGATCTGTCATGATACAGATAAGTGGGATCTACTAGCCAAGTACTCGAAGAAATTCACAAAAGCTGGAGTTAAGTTGAGGAAGACCACATTCGATGTATGGATGGAATTTGCTGCCAAGAGAGGTACTATTGGTTTCCTGTCTTATACTTGCATTGATTTATTCTTCGATAGAATTTTGATCAAAATGATTTCTTTCTTAGCACATCTATCTCCTGATCACAAATGGGATTAGTCATTTAGTCTAGACTAGTGCTAGTAGTGCAAAAGGCAACTCTGGAAATTTCAACAGAATACTAGTCTGCAAAGGATTTTTCCTACTATGATGTCGATTGCTTATTAAGTCCTTCTTGTGTCAGGGGATACTGAGTCACTATGGAAAGTAGATAAACTGAGATCAGAGACATATAGTCAACACACACTTTCTACAGCCTTCTCTTGTGCAAAGGTTAACACAAATGTATCTCGATCCTCATGTTATAATCAAATAGTGTTGAATTATCCACTAAAAAAAAATTGTTCCTTTCACAGGGTTTCTTACTAGAAAGTAAACCTGAAGAAGCTGCTTCTGTCATCCAGGTTATCTGCCAGGTGAGCCCAAGGCCTTACCTTAATACTATCTCTTCTCTTCTGATATAACCCTTACACATTGTAACCTTCGAGAAGTATTTAGTTTGACAAATATGTGTGACTGACTGCGCAGGCTTATCCTGACCACAAAAAGTCAGAAGTCGCGACCGAATTCAACAAACTGGTAAATGAGTGGACTGTGGACGTTATCAGGCGCCAAACAGAAGAAGATAAGAAGGTTAAAAACTCTCTATGCCTGTTATGTTTTTAACCCTGAAACCAAAACTATACTTGATCCTCTCTTTGTAATAATGATGATCAGGCTCTAGCTGCTTCATTGAAATCTGGTATTCCTTCCATGGTTAATGCCTTGCTAAGCTCCGGTTTAAACGTGAGCGTGGATTTGGATGAGCTATACAAGAACGAAGCTTTTCTTAGCTGAATGACTCAATCAACATCTACAGATCGAAGCAACTTCGTAGCTCCACAGGTTTGATGTGATCTTGTCTTTTTCACGGTGGCAACGTAGAGAGAAGGGATATAACATATTGCTGTTCTGTTTTCTTGCAATCTCCGGCAACTCTTTTTATCGTTTATCCTTTAGGTACTTGACGCAGAACAAGAAGAATTGTTGTCCCTCTCTTTGTTAGCCTCAAATAGTAATGACCTTTTGAATATGAAGAAGAAAAAATGAGTCTTAATAAAATGTTCATTGTTTAGTTGCTGAATATTGTTAACGTTGTTATAGTGAGTATAAAAAGAAAATAAGTTTCCGAAATTCGATCGAATAAGTGGACTCACCATAAAAAAGATTGATAAAGAAACAACATCAAAAGCAAATAGACAGTTACATGATTGTTGATAATGACTTTACACAACACAAAACGACAAGAAACAGCAAACAGCAAACGATTTCTTTCTTTTTAAAAATTTAAGGAAGCTTCATAGCATCAAGAACAACAAGAACCATAAACACAACTGCAGAAAGAAAAGTGATGGCAACCGAAGCAGCAGCTTGGTGACAGAACTTTCCAAAAACATTGCAAACTTTCTTCCACATCACATGTTTGTTCCCTTTTAAACCCATTAGCCCAATTGCTCCGGCAGCTCCGGTGCCGGAAAACAGCAAAGCCACCATCACTAAATCTCCTAGCAAAACCGCCATTAACAAGCCTTTGCTTCTTCTGCCTTTACTGATTATCAGAATCACAATCGAGATCGCTGTGTAACCGCAAGCTATAGCGTTTGCAGAAATGTTGTACCTACAACATTTGCAATACTACATTGCTCATTTCTGAATCTTGTACATGCCTATATCAGTTTAGCAATTAATCTATGAATTCATTTGTCTAGTTTTTATAAATTTATTTATATATACATACGGACTCTGCATTGCTGGTCATGCCAGCTAAAACTGTTATACATTAAATGTTAAAGCTAAAATAAGAGCTGAGAAGGGTAGATAAAGATTTTGCTATATGGACCAACATCGCTGTTGTCAAACATTTTGGGTAGTTGGACATTTATTATACGACTAATCATCTACGAAATTTGTATTATTCTATATATATATGCATGTATAGATAATTACCCCAAAGATTAGTTAGTTCAGCAGTCCTCATAATGCGGTTATGCGCATGCAATTAGTGTCTCAAATATACAATATTGTTACATTCTAGATATGTACACGTACACGGCATGTATAATCATTTGCTTATTGTAGTGATGGAACATTTAGTGTGTGTGTGTGTGTGTTTTTTTTTCAAAGTTTTTATATGTGTGTTTAGGTGTTTAACTACTACCTAGTCAACATATTTATGTGAATTTTAAAAATAATATGTTTTTTCTTTTCTGAACCTATTAATAAGATATAATAAGAAATAAATAAAATGTTTTGATAATTTGTTCTTATGAGTTCTAGAAAAATGTAACGCAAACAGGAACGCATTTCATTTCATTTAATTACTAATTTGTTTAGCAATTAGTTTTCTTATCACTTTTGCGATTTCGATGAAAACACTAAAATAATTTGTTTACTTTCATGCAAACACAAGAATTTGACCGTTTAACATGGAAAAAAAAAAGAGTAATCGCGAAGAAAAAAAAAAGCAAAATTTCTAGCCTTATATAGATCTAACGTTTACATAACAAACCCATTCATTATGACATCTTTCTATATATTCACGTTTGTGTTTAGTATATATATTTCAAATTAATCCACAACCAAAGACATTTCGAACAAAAGATTAAATTGCAATTGAAAACTGGAAAAAAATTTTAATTTATTTGTTCGCTGAAAAAAACCAAGATGCACATATGTAACTCGCCTTTAATTATTGCTCTACATGAGAATTTTGTACTTTCAAATTAAAATAAAGTCCAAGATGTTAAAAAATGAAAAACATGTTTCTATTTCATGAATATATAAAAAATCAGTTAAACGTTTCATTTCACAAAAATATTTTATAAGAAAACTAAAATTATATATATTATTAAAACGTGATTTTTTCTGTATTTTTTTTTTACATGTGTATGTGGAAAGGAGAAAGAAAAGAGAGAGGCTTACACAAAGGCAGACAAGTAAGTGGATTTGGCGGTTGTAGAGACATCAAGAGGAGGCAAAGTTGGAATAACCTTAATAGACACAACCTTTGTCTGCTTTGAGACACCAAGTACTGTTGCAGCCACCAATGTTAGAACCAAAGCCAACACTCTCATCGTTAATTCGAGACCTTTCCTCGAACCACTCTCCTTCTTTCCCTTTTCCATTTCCATCCCATTCATATTGTTCTTGCGTTCTTGTTCAATTATCTCTCACTTATAAAAAAAAAAAGGTTAAAAGAGATAAGAGAAAAGAGAAAGAGAGAGAGGAGTAATAAATGGTAGTCTTTTCCCAACTTCTCAAGCTCTCGAGGTGAGAAATGTGTAATATATATATACTATATTGAATACGTATACTTAACACACATCAAACTGTGTGGATACTAATAATGATGTCTACGTGGCTTTTAGTTTATGTGGCGCGAGAGAGATTCTTAAGCTTACGAGAGAAAAAGAGTATTGGATATGTACGTGAAAATAAAGTGTGAACACATTGTGTAAAAGACAAAACAAGAAAAAGCGTGTGAATACTTTCATTGAAAATTTTTGTTTCCAAAATTTGTCCATCATTTTTCATTGAAAGTTGCCGGATAAAAGACAGATTTGTGGATTATTTTGACTTGGGCGTGTTCATTGCAAGTGTCAAATAAGGTAACAACTTTGGTATGTACAAACTCATATTCGAAGTGCAACCAAAGAAATTCGAGTCATGGATATGTAAAATCCCAACATACATCTATGCTTTTCGATCAGGTCAGAATTTCGTATCATTTTAGAGCAGTTTTTAGACTACTGATAGTTTGAGTAAGTCGCTTTCTAATTTTTCGAGCAATATAGAGATATTTTTTCCGTAAATTTACTTGATCATCATATAATGGTATTAAATATTATTATTATTAATTTACAAAGTTCATTATGTATATGTTCCAGTATCCTAGTCACTAGTCAAACAATTAGGGTATGAATAACCTGATCATCTTAATGCTCAATTTTTTTTTACCATGTTGTTTTGTTAAATTGCATCTTAGACTTTATCTACACTCTTAAAACATATATGTTCTATAAAAATAATCGTTTAACTAGAGAAATTAGTATCTTAGTAAAAAGAGAAAAAGCAAAACTTTTTTTAGTTTAATTTTCGAATATAATGGAAGTAAATGTTTTCTTATTTTCAAAGATTATTAAAGAATTCTTTAAATTATTAATTGAATAAATTAGTAAAATACTATATTTTAAATAAACGGCTACCGTAAGTAAAAACTATATTGTGGTAAATTAAGAAAGACTATTGAAGTAAATGTAATTGAGAAAGGAGTAAAGATTGGTAGTTAATTGTGGGAGATCATCAAAGGGACTTTGACACTTAATGCAACCATGGCAGTTGGCAAGTGTAGACAGTAGACACTGACAGCTCGTTTTGAAACTATATAATTTATTAAATATAATTTAAAGGAAATGATTATAATATAAATCTACGTCAGAACTCAGAACCAAGTTATCATACACCATATGATTATATATGTGTACAGCGAGTCGCCGAGACGTATACGATATTGCTAATATACGTCGACACGTACTCGTCCATATATATACAAAAGTTGTAATAACTGTTAAGTATCTACGGATCTACCAACATGGCTTCATACTACAGTTTTTTCTGGGGATCGATCTGTTCAAAATCAACCCATAACCAAAATTAGGTGTTAATCGAGCGTTTTGGGACCATTTATTAATTATGTTTAAATTAAGTACTAACCTTTGTTTTCGTCTTTCAAGAGAATATTTGTTGTTTTAGGTAATTAGATAAACTCACAATCAAGTCGGTTTAGGATAATAATTCCAACAATAATATACTGAAATAACATAAGCACTTTAGGGCTAAGAGAGTGGTTTAATCTCGCGGCTAGCTGGTCACTTGTCGTGGGGGGTGACTGGTGAGACACCTAGCTAGTTCTTTTTTTTTTTGTGGAGTTGAAAGTATATGAGCCAATGTGCTAAAATTTATATACTGAACCATTCCTAGTTAAAACCAAATGGCATCAGTTTAACAAAAAAAAACAAAAAGACAAAATATCTACTCATGGCATCTATTATTTCTAATTTATAATTTGAATTTCTTGGCGGTAGGGTTAGGGATGTGACTACCCTATCAATTCGATTTTAGAATAATATCTATATATAGTATCAATAGAAAAACTTATGAAGAAAATTAGATCAGAGGCCCATGACCAGATTTGTGATTGTACTAGCTTTAATTGATTATTTGAAAGCAGATACGATTGTGTCCCAGTATTGTTGATATAAATTTTAGTCAAGTAATATACACTACAGAGATAAGTTTCAAAATACCACTTTTTCAGTTTTGAATTATAAAATGACCATACCACAATTTCTAAGACGCTTAATTGTTTTAAAATAAAATATTTTTGTGTTATTTATTTTAACGTTTTGCTAATTTTGTCAAATTACCAAATCTTTTTTATTTTCAACGAATATTCAGTTATACGATTTTTTGTTTGTTTTTCGTATCCTGAAACAAAACAACATCATAAAAAATTTGATCTCTTAAAAATTACTAAATATGTTTATAAAATAATAATAAATAGAAAGCGGGTACTAGAGCATATAATATATAGCACCAAACATCAAATAATATTATAATAATATAATTTTAAACAATATATTAGATTTTATTCTATGTTAGCATAGAAAATTTATCAAATTTTTTAATGTAATTTATGTTTTTTTTGTAAATATAATTTTTTTAATAAATGACAAATATTCATTTTTTGTCTATATATAATTTATATTTATTTTTTTGTATTTATTACGATCATGATCATAAAAACATAATTATAACCCGATCATTCTATTAATCAGAAAAATAGTTATTATAAAAACGTAATTCTAACTCGTTTATTATATTAATCCCAAAAGGAACAAAAATATAATTCTAACCCGTCTGTTTATATTATTATATAATATAAATATTTTTTAATTTTGAAATAATTTTAGGTTAATATCTTGCATGTTTTGATAGCTTAACCCACATATAATCATAATTATAAAAAAACTAACACGTTCCATCAAATTACAATAAATTATAAATATATATCAATGTTCAATATGTAAAATTTTAGAGTGATTGATTATGATTAAAAAATACAATAACATATTCGTTAACTGTATGTGTTATTATGAAAATATTATTTAAATTTCAAATTTTAAATTAAATCTAAACTATATTTAAAGAAGTTTAAGTAATTTAACTTATATCTAACTTTTTAGATTTAAATTTAATTGCAATTTTTTAAAAAAATATTTAAATATTAAATTAAATATAATCTATATTAAGAAAATCTTTAATTATCTAAATCGATATCTAATTTTCGGAATTAGTTTTATATATAAAAGAAAATGTATTTAAAAAAAATAATATCGCAACAAAATAGCATAATCTTAAAACAGTTTTCAAGTATTTTTTTAAAAAATTTTTTGGAAGTGTTTAGATGCAAACAATAAAAGTGTTTCTGTTTTAATATAATAGATATAACCAAATATCAAATAATTTATTTGTTTTAAAACATATTAAACATCAAGTATAACTCCACTTCCTTCTATTTCAGGCATAGGATAGGAGGGGTGACAAAATGATGAGAGTAAAGAATGCAAAAGTGTTTTGGGAAGAATTATATTAAACTCTCAAGAAAATCAAGTTTAACAATACATTAGCTTATACAAGAAACGATAAACCTAAAATCCTAAACTAATAAAGAATTAATATATTAGAGATAAATGGTAAACTTCTTAATCTAGATATTGACAATATTGTAGATCGTTTTTGAATCTTCCACAAACCTTATATTCATCTCAATCGTTGGATTTCGATCGGTCTTTGGTTCTTGATTCGGTTTGGGTCGATTTCTTCGATCTCCCAATACCCCTGTCAAGCTCATACATGGTAACACCTATGAGATTAAACAATTCTCCAAAATGGCGTTATACTCGGCCATCGAGTCATCTTTGCGGCGTTATACTGACCGTCTGAGTCATCTTCACGACATTATACTCAGCCGTCGAGTTTTGCAGCGTTATACTCGCCCGTCGAGTTATCTTCGTGGTGTTATACTCGACTGTCGAGTCAAATCGAGTGGAAAATACAAATCATTGTATGTCCACCAAAGCATAACCATCTGAGTATACCATCATTAGCATTAACTTGGTAAAACTCACGGTTACAAAATAAATGGATAAGATCATAGATCCGTCTCCAAAAAATAATTTCCATCAATACCGTAGAAGTATCGTGATAAGCCATTATTAGCTTAAGGTTCACCGAATGAACTTATCATAATAGTTCATGTTCACATGCACTATAGCATCGATCATCAATCTTCATTTTTTTTTTAGCAAAAAAATCTTAGTACAGGCCAAAGGGAGACTCTGATACCATGACAAATTGATGAGAGTAAAAAATACAAAGTGTTTTGAGAAGAATTATATTAGACTCTCATGAAAATAAAGGTTAACAATACATCAGCTTATATATGAAACGATAGACCTAAACTTCCTAAATTAATATAGAATTAATATATTAGAGATAAATGGTAAACTTCTTAATCTAGATATTGTAGATCGTTCTTGAATCTTCCATAATTTTGATATTCATCTCAATCGTTTGATCTCGATTGATCTTTGGTTCTTATTCGGTTTGGGTCGGTCTCTTTGATCTCCTAATAATGGACCATTAAAAGAATGGCTGCAATCAGCCCCACAATACACCACTTAATTAAAGCAGAATCTGAGGTTCTATGAATGGCATTGTTTTCATTTGAAGAGGCTGGAGTATATGCAGGTTACTTTCTGTGGTGATGCACCCACTCTCTATACCAACCTTGCTACGGAATGTACTCAAGAACTACGATGGATACACTCAGCTTTATAAACTTATCTACATGATATCAAGACTCTTACTGATGGAAACTGCCAGCTTAAAATTTTGAAAATCCCTACATAAATTCTGTAGCTGATCAACTAGCAAAGGGAGCTAGATCTAAGCTTTCAAATCCTGTAATATCATGGAACAGTGTAACATAAACCTTTCTATTTTATTAATGAAATTGGCCAATTCCCACCCGAACTCTCCTAAATACTGCAGATTCATGTTTTGAGAATATTAAATGTTCAATTCATACCCAAATTCTTAATTATATGAAAATTCATATCCAAACTCTTTTGTTTTTGGCCGATTCCAACATTGACTTTTATCTCGATAGTTTACATGTATATGCTGTTAATGGAGATGAGTTATGTGCCACGTTTATTGTCTAGTTGTCACAGATTATGGAAGAGCTTTCTTAATGTTAAAAAATGCTTCATGCCAATGAGGCAACAAACGTGGCACATGACTTATCTCTGTTAATGACATATGAAAAAGACTCCATGACAACGGATCATGGCCACTTAAAATTTCAGGCATGAATCCGCATCAGCCACAATGGTTGTTTATTAAAGATATTTTTTTCCTGTTTTATTAGTTAAATGGATGACAAAAAAAAAACTTAAAGATAAAATTCTATCATCAAAGTCAAAGTAAAGTTTGAACCAATATTTTTATTTTATTTTCATTAGCTTGATTAAACACAATCTTGCGTATAATAATCTATAACAAGGTGAAGAATTAGAAATACTTTTTTAATCTATGTTCAATGAGATAAGATAAACTAAAAGTAACGATTAATATTCTTTCATAGACATATTAGACTTTTTAAATTAAATGAAAAAACAAAATATATGTTTAAACTTTCAAAAGCTACAAATCTCTTATATATCTTATCACATTCTAATTGTAATCATAACGCTTCCAAAATGGGGTCGACGTTTTCAAACTTAAGTAATCACCAAGTGTACAAAAATAGTTCAATCAGTGTATTCAAATATCCCATAGAGAAGACAAAATCCTTAAGATCAAGTAATAAAAAGATCAATTTAACTTACTTTGGTCTCCATCCAAAAACATGTGGACTAGCTATAGAGAGTAAATACATTTTTTTTTTTGCTAATGGAGTAAATACAATTTAAAAGGTAGCTTCAAATAATGCCACTATGCGAATCTGTGATCTCTTGCATCTAATGCATCGGCCACCATTCTAAGTTATAGAATTGTAAATATTGATAAAATACGATACAAGTCAGACAGCATACACAAATGATTTGTCATCGTTTGTCGAAGTATTTTTATTTTGAGTTATATAATTTCTGTCCGATTAGTTGCTTGAGACAGAAGTATAACGGTACAATAATTTATTGGGACAGCCATGAAAACCAATAAGAAAAGAAGAAAAGATCGTGTACCGATTTTCCATCACATTTACATTCTTTTTCTGAGCAATTTCAATCAAAGTCATAGTCAACCTTTCAAATTTCCAGTCTTGTTCATATAAAACAAAATGATTCGTCGTCGTAATTTTGTATGAGCTGTCAATCTGTTCCAAACAAGTGGGGATACTTTAAGTAGTTGGTTAATTCTTATCGTGATTTCAATAACTCAGAAGCTATTAGGGGTTCTTAAACGCACTCATAAGGTAAATGTTTTTTTTTTTTGGTTTTGTTAACGCATTCATCAATCATATATAAGCTTAAACAAAAAAAAAATTGACCAAAATATAAGCTTAAATGTTATCATTGATCTTGTGCGTTATGGACTTATGGGTCATGATAGTCTGTCGTTGACGGTTTAGACTCAAAGATCCGTACGTAAGTTAAGATATGATCGGATTGGATATATAGTTTTAAAATAAGATCTTTCTCAACCTATAATCAAGACCATTTCAAACTATATATTGGAAGGTCATGTGGAAATTTTCAATTAATTTTTTTTGCATGGCTTGTATTAAGAAGTCAATGGTCAACAGATCATTCTTTTATCTGAACTTATATTAAAAAAAATTTACAAAAATGCAGTAGCTAGGATTTGAGATGATGAATGAATTTAAACCGCTGTAGTTGAAAATCATCTATTTTGGAGATTATTAATCGATCAAAGAGCTATGTTTTAACGATTCAGGAACGTTATCTGATAAACTAAAGGTCCATATAACAAAATAATATACGAAAAATGTAATTTCTTTCCCTTACATGTAACTTTGTATTATACTGTTATTTTCAAGTTATTTCACCGTCTCTTATCGTATCATTTTACTCCTAACTACTAATACACATTAACCACAATTGCGTTAAACTTGGTCATCAGTTGGATCAATACAAGGAAAACAACAATTAAGTCTGAAGGAAATAATAATCGATACAAAACATAAAGAACATATAAAGATTAACTAAAAACATCGGTTTAGAAATAAACTAACCACACAATTAATTATACAAAATCAATGAAAACAAAACAATACTACAAAATTAAGAACACAAAGATCAACTTCGACAGATCCACCAAAGCAAAAACAAGAATATATAAACTGATTGACTTAGGACAGACTCAAAGAAAGAAAGAGTGAATCAACGGATTCTCTTGTAGAGGGAGAAGACAGAGATGATGGAGAGGAGGAGGAGGATAACCGAGGCGACCAACGAGACGGCGATTGCGCCACCGACGTGACGGCAAAACGTGTCGTAGACATGACAAATTTTTCCCCATCTCACGTTTTTGTTTCCTTTCAGACCAATGTAAGCTACTCCACCTCCTGCTCCGGTCGCTGACGCCACTATCCCTACCATCACCTGTCAAAACGTTATCGTTTTATGTTAGTAAGAAAATGTTATATTATAGCGATTTAGTACTATTGTAATTCATGACATCCATTCAGTGATCTTTGTCTCTTATACAAAAGTTATATAGTTAAACTAATGGAGATGCTTAAAAACAAAAATAAAAGGATATAAAGTATACGCTTAACTTTTGTAGAAAAAAGGCATTTATTTTTTCTTTAACTTTTGTTGTAGTTTTTAACCATTTTTTTGTTACTAAGTAATAGCAAATTACGCGATTTGGTTTCTGCATGGTTTTAAGATTTATATTTACGGTTCATTAAAAGATGAATTACCCACCGCATCCATAATGGCAAGATTTAGTAAGAGAATCGCAGAGCAAGAGGAAGGCTTCTTGAGAGCAGATACGGTGGCAAGTGTAGATAGAATGCTGTAAAAGCAAGCCACCGATAATGCTACCACAAAGTATCTGCACATTAACGAAAAATAAATTGAGTTATTACATGTATAAAGAGGTACATATAAAAAGCTTATAATAATAAAACATGCTTTTAATCTCAGGATTGGACATTTAATATTTTGAGTCCTTTTTCGTTAAATAACTTTAGGCCAACTTATTTTTGACTTTCCAAAAAGTTTGTTTCGAAATCCCAACTACTCCCACACGCAAATGTTTTTGAAAAATATTACATATAATAACGGCCATTTGTATATAGAATATTTTGTTAAATATATGCTTTCGCCTTTACTCAATACTCTTTGTTAAACATATATGATGGATTCTCTTAATTTCTCAAAGCTATACATAACAATCATACGCCTTGACCAGCTTTTAATTCCACTAGTGTTTCTTTATCATTGTATTACACCATCCAAATTTGACATGACTTTCTTCTAGCTGGGATTAGAATATGGTTTACTAATTAAGACCCATGCTTGAAAAATTAACCTCTATCCTAAATCAAATTTTGGTCCTTGCCAAGTTATATTTATACATGATTCCAAATAAGCTATGGCTTGTACTTTATTTGACTATGACTATGAGATATACAAATCATATATGAACTCCGCCACTTACTTTAATAAGATAACTAAATACTTTCAACGATAATAATAGGAAATATATAGTCGATCAATTAATGAATAATTAGGATGAACTTACATGAAAGCCGGTGAATGTGTGAACTTGGCATCAGGCATACGAATTGGGGTTCCAGGAATAGTCTTGCTCTGGTTACTCGTGACCATTACCACAATTGATGTCAAAGTAGCTGCAAATAGAAATAATCTTAGCACAACTTGAGTTATCCAACAACTCTTCGTCGTGGTGCTGCTTCCTGCAGGCACGGTCGATTTCTCCGTGTCCAATGTTGATTTGGTTTCATCAGAACCCATCGGTGGCTAAATCTTGAATTTGTTAGAGAAGGTGATGAGTTTTTTGTGTTATTAGGTACGTTGAGAGCGGAGTTTTATAGTGTCTTTTGAAGAAGCAAACATAATTAAATTGTTGTTTTATATTAGTGTTAATTAGTATTATATAATATAAGGTCGTGGGATTAAGATGGTGGGTGTTTCGGACACGGCAGAGATATTTGAATTTGTTAAGAGTCAATATGTTCATATATATCCATATTGATCTCATCGATCCTTCTGGCATTTTCATCTTTATTGGTGATCTTATTGTATTTATTAATGTGAAACTACCCTAAATCGTATGTATGTATATAATTGCATGTTGTTTATATACTAATTAGACAATATATAAAAGGGACGTAACCTTTTACGTAGAGTTGACATTTTTAAATATTATTCCTTCCTTTATATTGAGATATATTTTTACAATTAATAATCATATGCCATTTCATAAATCGCCTAGGATTTTTACAAGAAAATTAATTACATGCACTATTAATTTGTCTAAAGTTGTGGATATGTTTTCGTATTATGGGGCTTTCTGCGTACGCACATTAAATGAATATGCATGCATATGTTTATAATTTAATAATAATATATCATTTTCACCTTGTACATCACCCAGATATTTCAATAATTTTACATTTTAATCCGAATTAAACTACATAAATAAACTAATTTAACCTTGAACTTCCGAGAACCCGAGAGGTACGTAGTGCGTTCATCATTGTAATAATTGATATAGAAACTAATAATGCCATAAAAATATGAAGAAAAAAAAATCAACTTTGAGTCTGGAGAAAATAAAATAACAATTGTGACAGAGCTTCCGGGTGTCGATACTTTGACTGGCTAATTACGCTTAGCACTTGATGTAAAAATGAAGCTATTAATAAATTATGAAGCAACTCATTTTCTTCAAATTGTGTGTGAATACTGAATAATTATATTCTAGTGTTTTGACCGTGTGAGGATAATGAGGAAGGCTTCCAAAACAATTCCATCATCACATCTTTGTCTTTACCCGTTTCCTGGATAAACGTTAAAGAGTAAATTGACCATGTTTTCACACGCACAGGGTAATAAAATCTATATATGGAAAAAAACAACCAAAGCTAAATATAAACTCAGTAAAAAATGAATTATGGTCTAGGCTTAGCAAAACACCAGAACTTAACGGTGAGCTTATTGATACAAATTAGTTGAATTATATAAAACGAATGTTTTAGCCCACCAAAACTTAAACCAGATAAATTAATGGAACACGTACCGTTTAACTAGATTTTTGATATTTTATTTATAGAAATAATTAAATCTATGAATCAATACACCATATTCTATGATATACAAATTATCTGTGGTCAATATATAACAGATTATCGAAAAACACGAGTTAAAACTTTGTTGGACGAAATATTCAACCTTCGATCCGAACTTCTTGGTCTCAAGTAATGCAATCATAACTATAATATTAGTTTTACAACTCATAGTTTTAATGTTAATGATTCGTTACACATACCAGATTATAGGTTAACCGATTCTAGAATAAATAAGATAACTGAGCCTTCAATAATTGATGAGCACTTTTATGCATGAAGATAATTGACAACTAAAGATACGTATTTATTTTATATTAAGATAGGGAAAAAAGAAAAATAATAATATAATTAAGGCAAGCTGTCTGGAATAAACGAAGATCGTTTGCCTTGAAAGTTTGAAAGTGTATATGATAAGGTAGAGATCACGACAGCGAAGATATATATATCTTGGATTAAATTATCTTGACCGCAATTTTTTGGTCCAAAAAAATCAATCGGTGTTTCTACGCCTATGTGATTATCTTCTTTCTATACACGTTATTTACTTTTCAATTTGTTGATATATACAGGTTAATTCATTTTCCATCAGTCAAACTTTTGAAGACAATAATACTTTCATATTGCAAACATCTGAAAGCAGCAGCAGCCGCCTAATGATAATATAACAAGTTTCTCGTCACATTTTCAGTGTCATAATTAAAAACATTCATTTTTTTTTTGTGGAATCTAATATGATCCAGATATCTACAGATATTGCCAGATTCATACTCGGATAACCATTTTTAAGATCTGAACCCGGATATCTGGTGAAGTGTCCGATCCGTGCCTACTCTAACTAAGATTATTTATGCATGTGGTTAAAAAATTGGGATTTGCAACTCATTCTAACAAAAAAAAATATTCTCCAATAATATGTACATTTCCAACTTTCGATCTTTATATAATTTGTTTTTCTTTATTATTATAGATAAGTAAAGAGAATTTCACGGTTTACAAAACTTAATTTTCTAAAAAGGAAAAGCACATCTTAACCTACATTAATACGGGTAAACTTAACTTTATCTGTATCATATCATGCAAATTCTAATGAGGTATAAATATAAATTAACTACTCTTTAACCAAAAAAAAATCTAAACCAATCTGCCTTGGTCCAGTTGGTAAAGGAATGTCTATGTGGAAAAAAAAAAAAAAATTAACGGACAACACGAGTTGAGGGTCCGGAGAAGAGCATCAACATGACAATAACACAATCTTACGAGTTATTATGGACCGAAACTACAGGCCCAATACTAAAGGCCCGTTGGTAAACCTAAACACGACGAGTTCGATCGGTTTATTCCCAGGAGGATCTTCTTCGTTTCCTTGATTTCCAAGCTTTAGATCTCCAAGTCGTTCCTTGTTCACGACGTCACGGCGGTGTAAGTCTTATTTAATTTTTCGATCTCTTTCCAGGCATGCGTTTATACTATGAAAAATATTCATGTGGTCTCAGAATTTATCTCCGACGTAATAACCTGTTTTTAGTAGATTTGATAGTTTCTTTTGGCGATTTTTGTAAACCAATGATAATCTAGATCTTAATTTTCATCTTCTGCATGGTTGTAGCAAAAAAGAAATGTCTAGTTCAACCCAAAATGAAGCTCCAATAATTGTGGAGAAAACGGCCCGTTTCGCTTCCAAAAACGGGTTAGAGATTGAGAAGATGATCATCGCATCGTCTCCAGAAGATGCAAGATTCAACTTTTTGAGGAGCACAGAAGATCCCTTTCACGAAATTTACCAGCAGAAGCTTGAAGAATACCTTGCTCAGGATGGTTCTCAAGATATTCAAGAAACAGAAACTAATGATCACAGTATCCAAATCATTGAGCCACCTCCAGGTCGTTTTAGAAAAATTGTCGAGACTACGGCACTTTTAGTCTCCAAAAAGGGTATTAAGGCTGAGAGGAGTATTGAGAGGACACTCATGTACACTGATGTAATCAATCCAAGTTACAACTTCAACTTTGTGAAGACATCAGATCCTTATCACCCATTTTACCAGTAGAAGCTTAACGAATACCTTGCTCAGGGTCAGAAGGATTCAGATGATGAGATTGAGTGTAATCCTCTTCCTCGGTCTCACATCAAGCGTCTGCCTGATCTTCTAGACTGTAGGCTTCCTAAAGGTATGACCCTCGAGGAGTTTTATGCTATCAAGCTCACAGCACAGTTTGGTATGGAGGTCGTTTTTATACAAATTTGGCGAAAAGAGCCCTTCCTCAGTTAGAGTTTATGAAGCAAGATAGTAGATGGTTCACACGTTTCAGTCAAATCCTTGTTGGGTATGCGAAAATAATAAGGCCTCCCACAGATTTTGGATCAAAGCTGAGCCAGAGTAAGGCTTATATGGAGGCCATTACTGATGGTTTTCTCCTCTGTCTTCAATGGGATGCTTACCAAAAGTTTTATTGGCAGACCAAGGGAGTGGAGAAGGCTATGACTGATTGGCATGCTTCTTTGGAGAAGGATTTTGCTAACAAGGAGGCTGATCAAGACCTGACACCACCTGGAACTGAGGATGAAACAGAGCCAAAGAGACAACAGTTTGACGTGCCAGGCCTTGTTCCAGAAGACCAGTTTCTTGCTCAACACTCGGTGATGTTTTCTTTGTGGCTCTTACAAGTCTTTGTTTTTTTTTTGGGGGGGGGGTCATCTTGAGAGTTGTGTCTAATTAGTAGTTTTATACATTTTCAGGGTCCGACTACAATCAGGGTGTCTGTTGCCAATGTCATTGAGATCACAGTGGAGTCTTTATCAGAAGACGTGGCAAGTTTGAAGGAGAAAATAGCTGGAGATATCCAAATTCCTGCAGAGAGGCTGAAGTTAAGTGGAAAATCAGGGGTTTTAGAGGACGACAACATGTCACTTGCACATTACAATGTGGGAGCAGGAGAAAACCTAACTCTGTCTCTGTGAGAGAGAAGATATGGAGGAGGCTTGTGGATGCTCCAGGGAAATGCTTTTCAAAATGTCTTAGTTCTATCTCTTAATTGATGTTTAAAACTATCTCTAATGGTGGAATGATGTTGATTGCTTAACTTAAGTTTGGCAGCTAGTTCCTGAGCCAACGTTTTAGCTTTGGAATCCTAAAACATCTCATGATGGTATGCAGTTTGGTTAGTAAAACCTCTATAAATTAATAATATTGGGACCATGATATTTTATTAGTTTATCGTGATATTAATTTATCTATAAATTAATAATTATTAATTAAAATTATTTTTCGCCCATCTTCTTCTTAAATTTATTCTCAAATAAAGTTATATTTAAGAACCTAAACTTATATGCTTATAAAATGACATGCACAAACTTAAAATTATAGTTACAAATCATAGCAATCGCAATAGAATAGTTGTTTCTACTTGTTAATTGTAGACTGAATTATCTATGTAAAAATATAAATGTTCATTAGTACAAAATTTATAAAAAAATATGGTTACTATCCTTAATGTTGGTGCTGAAATTGAAGACAATACCATAATATATTTTGAAATATTTACGCATAAGAAACTCAATTATCACATGTTAATTTTTTCATAAATTTGAATGGAGTTAAAAAAAAACCAACATTAAAAGTTTTGATATAAATAAGTAATGAGATGGTTTTCAATTAAATTTCAAACTTAAATAAAAACAAACAACATATTAATCATATTTTAGTATATTATATCTTACATATATATATATAT